ATTATTGTTGCACTTCTGAGCATAACTTTCAAATTTAAAAAATCTATGAAAAGAAAATTTGAGACAAATTTTTTTTTATAGATTAATAGACTCCCCTTTTAAAGCTGAATTGAATGGTGGTAAGTTTTTTAAAATCCAATGAGTGGATCACATAATATTTCAAAATTTTTAACTTTTGAGTATAGATGATCCGCACTGTAGGTGTCCTGCACTATACACAACGCAATCATTTTTGTAACACTTGAAATTTCCTTTTTTTTTCGAAAAATTCCTTTTTTAAACAAAATTCTATATGAAAAAATGACCGAAAATCCCCTTTTTAAAGCTAAATACGTCGCACTAAATTAAATTCGTCATATTCTTTGTTTAAATTAAATTAAAAAAAAAATAGTAGATCAAAACCAAAGCATACAATCTATTCCAGTAAGGGAAAAAGCAATGTTACGGGATTTGAGCAGTCTTTTGTAAGTGTTAAATAATGATAATAATAATTAATAAATAATAAAAAAAAAAAATTTAATTAAAATAAATTAAATAATTAATTAATAATTAGTTAATTAATAAGCCACCGTTATTTTTTATTTAATTAATCACTGAAACTGTATTACGTTTCGTCATTAGATCTGCTCTCTCAATTTTTTGATTTTTCACATTCGGTCTATTTAGTCGAACTTATCCAAAATGACAAAAATCGGCTATTACGTACTTCTCTGTTGTTGTTCACCCTTTTTGGTTATTTTATTATTGGCTTCTCTTTTTACTTATTTATTTTGGGGAATCTTACTTAGCCCAATTTGGTTAATCATACTCTTGGTGATACTTGCGTATTTTGGATATTATAAATGGGCAAGGTAACTGTATAATCGTCATTTTTTTTTCAAATTGATAAAAAGCCCGATACTCACAAATTTTTTACAGAGAAAACTATTTCAATAGAAAAATGAATTTTCCAGCGAAGTTTTCTGAAGAAACAAAAAATCAAGTCGCTTTATGGCATGATATCATTCAAAATAAACATAAGGATGATGACGATGATGACGATGAAATTTTTTGTAACGACCCATTATTAATCATCGAGTATAATCAACCGGGTCTCGCAAGCCGAAATATCACTGAAAATAATGTTAGCGCAGGTATAACCATAAATATTTATATAATTCATTAAAAAAGTTTTCTAACTATTTTTTGGATTAGTAATCAGAGGAACTCCAAACTATACTCCTATCGCATTTCCAAGGGC